AAGAGAGGAAGAGAGAAAGAGAAAGAGAAAGAGAAAGAGAAAGAGAAAGAGAGGAAGAGAGGAAGAGAGGAAGGGAGAAAGAGAAAGAGAAAGAGAAAGAGATGAAGAGAGAAAGAGAAAGAGAAAGAGAAGGAGAAAGAGAAAGAGAAAGAGAAAGAGAAAGAGAAAGAGAAGGAGAAAGAGAAGGAGAAAGAGAGGAAGAGAGGAAGAGAGAAAGAGAAAGAGAAAGAGAAAGAGAAAGAGAGGAAGAGAGGAAGAGAGAAAGAGAAAGAGAAAGAGAAAGAGAAAGAGAGGAAGAGAGAAAGAGAAAGAGAAAGAGAAAGAGGAAGAGAAAGAGAGGAAGAGAGGAAGAGAGAAAGAGAAAGAGAAAGAGAAAGAGAAAGAGAAAGAGAGGGGGAGGCATCATGAATGTCAAATGTCTTGCAAAATAATTTACACTCTGACCCCGCCATTCAGCGGAGGTCCATGAGTAAGGAAAACAAACACGAGGACTTATGTGTTGATTATATGTCCTTCGTCTCCCAAGATCCTAACTAAAGGCAAATATAGTCACTTGCTGCCTCCTCTAGAAAGAAAGCCCTCCATTTTGAACAAAGACTGAAATTTAACTACATTTCAAATGGGTTCAGAGAGGGCCAAATTTATTATTTAGTTTCTGTTTTAGATTCAAAGGTATTTTGAAAACGTGGGAGGATATCTCTACAACAGAGTCTTGAGATTGAGGTAAAGGTGTTTTTTGTTCATGAGTTTATGATGAAAATGCCCCTAGTAAAATGCCTCTTGCATGGATGGCTTCATACACCGAGTGACACAATTGTGATTACTATACCACCTTTCCGATTACCTATGACCGTTATTTTAGGATTGTTGGGTTTATAGCCTCTCTTTTTATGCCTTTTTTCTCTCTAGTCCTCAACCGTCACCACAGATAACGACATCTGCCATAGCAGAGGTTGCAATTTACTGCATAGAAACCAGCGTTCATCGTGTTAGAGCCAAACTCAGGGCTTTCGTTCACGAATCTAGCATTTTCCACCCAGATTATCTAAAGATAAGACAACCAAGTAAGTCCCCACCAAACCTCATCATCGAATAAATAATAACCTTCAAGTGGCAGTATGAAGTTCTGAGAATGATTTGAGTAAAAATAATGAAGCAACTCGAGTAAAATTGATGTCAATTGATTGCTGAAACTTTAGTTAATTATATCTTGATAAGAAGTATTCCAACCGATTGAAATGTGTTTAATTGAATGTCATAAAACACAAGTACCAATCAGATGTAAGAAAGCAGAAAGAGCTGAAAATTAGAGCTAAACCACCTGAAGCACAGGAAATCGCAAATAACGAAGTCACGACTGCTTTCAGTCTTGTGTTGAGAAAGTGGTGTGAGTTTTCTAGACCAGTCACATAGCGAAGTACTGAAAAAAGCTAGAATTTTAAAAAAAATTTCTGAAAATTTAATTCATCCCTAACCTGAATGATTTTGCCAATAATTGCAATCTATGATCTTTCTCCGTCGAAAAGTTATTACCAGTGTCACAGATATACTCCTCTCTCTTTCGATGGTTTTTCCTATGTCTACAATCAGTTATTATCCATGATGTTTCAAATCCCTTACCTTAACTTTAATTTTGATGTTTTACTGTGAGTAACATGTCCGTTTTCTCTTCCATTTCAGTCACCTGCAACTGCAATCCTCCAGTGGTTGATCTGCACCTCAAGCATCGTATCCTTGAGTCAGATATTATATGGTCATCTGACAAAGACTTTGTTTTAAAACCAAAAGTCTCAATAAATTGTTCCTCGCCGATCCAGACAAAATACCGTTGGAATTTTTTCAAAATTGATCGGGAAACCAGTTATTTCTCGCCATTTATGCCATTTGGCCTTAAAGACCAACCCATGGTCATGCTACGACCAAGGCTTTTTGGACCCGGAGAATTTTACGTCTCAGTGGATGTATCATTCACAAACAATATCACAGACACATCCGCTGACGACTTCGGGTTCTTCAGAGTCCAAATGCCAGTTTTAACGGCAAAAATAGTGGCACCATCGTCAATAAAAAGAGACGCAGGGAATATTACGATTGATGGCTCCGGCTCACACGACGCAGAGTACCCACAGGATCAGTCTAAAGGATTAACGTTTTTTTGGCAGTGCAGAAGGCTTTGCCAAGAAGCTCCAATAACGCCATGTTTTGATGCTGATTCCAATTTCTTCAGTGAAAGATTTACAATTGATGCCTCTTCTCTAAAGCCAAAATGTACTTACGAATTTAACCTGACTGTGACAAGAGAGCCGAGGATATCGAGAGCAAGTCATAGGCTATATATCGAGCCTGCAATACAGTTCTCTGTTGTGTAAGTTTAATTATGTCGATGTACTTGCGTTTTATTTTTTGCTTTATTCAATTATTTGTTCTTTTATCAGCCTATATTTCCATTTATTTTTGCAATTTTAATTTGATCGGTTTGTACAAGCATTAATGCTCTTACATGTAAATGCGTTTGCCGACGTCAATTTGACTTTTCGATATTTTGTTTTATTTACTTAATGTTTTTTAAATCATTCCTTTGTAACAGCTCTAAGCCGAGGCCTCCTCGATAATAACCTCGGCCCACTAAGCATATGCTCGGTGAATAATTATTCGATGTATTCAAATGATTCGCCAAAATTTGTTACTCAACAATCCTTCTCGAAAAATTCGTGTTGTTTAACTGGTAATCTTCTATTGACCGCTGCCAGATCATAGTTTTGGTTCATTTCATTGCATTAGATTGCGTAGGTATGCATATTTATGTTACCCCAACACAATCTGATCGAGAACCGTAAATATTTGAAAAAAGCAATCACTCGATCGACAATTTAACTGACGGAACTACTGTATATTGACCCATTTTCATCTCTTTCTTTTAATTTTTGCTTTTTTCCTTTGAAATTTTGTATTTGGTTATTCGTTTGTAAAATTTCTGTTTTACTTCGTTTGTTTGTTTGTTTTGCGTAATAGATGCGTCATTAATTGTGGACGGAAGGTCAGTGTTAAAAGACTCTTCTCCCTTCGTGTGGTTTGCGGTAAACAAGAATGCACGTCATTAGCGACTTTCTCCTGGATGATTTTCTCAGAAGACGACCAAGGAACCCTCACTAGGCTTGGTATAAAAATCCCAAGTGACTCTATAGAAACTTTTGCAAACATGACACAATTGAATATACTTAAACTTGAAAATCTTTCTGAAGTCAAAGACGGGCAAAAATTTCAAGTTAGGGTCACAGCCAATCCGTACAAGAGTCATTTTGAAGAACAAGCACACCATACATTTATCGTCAACGCTCCGCCGACAAACTCCGAAGCGCAAAGAAAAGACAAAGGTTGTCAGGTGAAGCCTAAAGAAGGTTTTGCAATTGTTACGGACTTTTACATCACGTGTTTGGGTTGGTATGACAAAGATGTTCCGCTTCGTTATGCTTTTATGTATACGTTCGACTCGAGCACAATTCTCATTCAAGAGGGAAATGTGGGAAACGTGACAAGTAAGCTCCCTGTGGGGGATCCTAATAAAGGCTATGAGCGTCGTGTCGACCTGAAGATTTTCGATGCTTATGGGGATTTTACTTCTTTGCCCAAGAAAATCAAGGTAAAATGAGTTTAATTCAAACAGACGTTCAAACAAGATGGTATAATTGGTATAATTTCTGTTCAGTCCGGTTAAATAGCTAGAGTCATTTTCAAATGTCATTTAGTTGAGTAACCCTCATGTTGCTGCATATACTGTTGGCTGCTTTTGCTTTCTTTGAATGACATTGATACAACGATTGGCCTTAATTTAGAGATATGATTTCAGAACCTTTTTTACCCTTGATGTCATACATGTTCAATACATACCAAATCGCATGAACAGCTTGAAGAAAAAAATTGTTTAGCTGCCCATCAGGAACCAGTTTTTTGAAGGGTGGATAAATCTCTATCCGGTAGATAGCGATTCATCTCCCCTTTGAACAACTACGCGGAGGTTAAAGCAGAGTATATCCAGGTGAACATAATCTTATATTCTCTTCTCAGCGCTTTAATTAAACGTGTCGTACTTCTTTCTTTCGGTTTTTAGGTGAGGCCGCCGCCTGCTTCGGAGAAGCTGTTAGATGTTATCAATAATGCACAAAACAACATGCGGAAGCTGGTTGCGGGAAACAATGTTGAGAAGGCAGCTGATATGGCCATTACAATTCTCTCGGTTATTGATTACAACGAGAAACTTAAGAAAGACGAAACGGTAAGATCAGAACAAAAGTCATTCTCCTCACTGTCCATATAAAATTCTTACGGTGTTAATTTGGAGAATTTCGGTTTTGAATCAACTTCTAATCCCCTAGTGACATATTTTTTTTATTCCTATCACTTTTCTGCTTGATGTTGAATTGGAATTGTAAGGAGAAATTATGTCTCTCGGTCACTCATGAAAGTAAAACGGATATCCAGCTTTAATTCGACTTTTGCATGATGATTTAAAATAGACTTGGTTTGTCATTTGCTGTCAAAAGTTCTCAATAATTTGCTTGCGATTGACACTTAGAATGGTAATCTCTTTCACTTTACACTGGTTAAAGGCAACACATTTCCTTGAAAAATATCGTTATGGTTGCAGTTTAAGGACTCTGTGCTAAATATCATGTCTGGAGTAAAAGTTGACAAGATCAATCTGGTCACCAAGATTGCCGTTATTACGGCCTACTCAACCAAACGGGTTGACCAATCCTTGCCCCAGAACTCACAGGTAAGTCAAGGATTAAGTATTCGTTACTGAATTGGTGGACCGTTTGCTGTACGAACTGACAGCCAATGATAAGAAACCGTTATCCTAGTAAGATAGTTCAGCAATTGGTTTTTATTCATTGTATTGTATTTCAATGATATATTTGGGAAAAAGAGTTTTGGTCGCAGAGGTTTGTCTATTTCCTTACTTATGTGAAGCTTTTAAAAGGCGCCTTTTTCGTATTTTGAGACTTATCAAAAGCTCTTTGCAACCCTTAGATTCTGCTTAGTAAAATAATCGCCTTTCCATGAACGAGAACCAAGTGTCCCCAATAAGGGCCCCCCCACAAGACCTAGATGAGTAGAAGATGATTCGCTGCTTTAATTTTTTCCGTAGGAGGATGCATTGACCTTAATAAGAAAAACAACTACATTCTTGCAAAATATTAACACCAGTGCTATTAAAGATCTGAAGGTCATTGGAGAGATAGGTGAAAACATATTAACAGGGATTGGAAATGTTCTGACGTCTTCTTCTAAGGATGTCGATATAGACTCTCCGAATAAGGATCCTAATTTTGATGTGAAAAAGGTGAGTATAGTTTTCTTTTTTGTAGAGCATAATAGGTTGAAAATATCTGTTTCTAAGTATCTACAGTATCGTTGGTTTCATTTTTTCATAGTACCCAATAAACTCACTAGGGCCTATTACCTTGACATTCATATTAAGATTTAGCATGCATCTTATCTAATTTTTTCAAATCTAATCTGAACTAATCTTCCATCGATAAATACCCTGTTTGCTACGTCATTTGTATTCGAAGAAGTGTAGTTTTCTCTTTTCTCCCACCGCTGGCTACGCCTTATCCTAACGACCACTAAAGTCAGTGAGTGAAAATACTCGTGATGGGAAGATCTATTTCCAGCCAGCTTCTGATCAAAGTCTATGACATTAAGCACTATCTCCTTTCTCTTGTACAGGGCCGGAAAATCACCTCAGAATGTGTGGAACTGGTAAACACTATCACTGCTGAAGAGGAATTTTGTGCAAATCCTACAATTATCAGTACACCTTATATCAATCTTACAGCTTGCATTGAAAAAGCCACTGAAATGAAAGTAAGCAAGCTGCTTAAGGGTGAAAGTGGAGTCAAGCTACCAGATGCCAAGGATCTGTTCCCGCCTGATCTCTTGGACGAAAACACCGTGGTGGATGTTAAGGTGAGGGAAAAATATAGCTCGAACTAGCCATGAAGTGCTTTGATAAATTCAGTTCCAAGACTGGAAGGAATGAAGAAGATGTAATTACATCCTCTTGTTAATGGCGTCATGTAATGGTGTTGTTGGGGAGGAGTATTCTAAGTCCCAATTAGACAGACTTTCAATTCCTTGTTGAGCATTAGAAAGATATATTGGTCTTTCACTTACATGTTCATTTCATTTTTCTTAGTTTGAGTTACGTGTGTTAATGATTAAGAGTTAACTCATCTGTTGTCTTCATGCTTCTGCTCTCGCGTCTGGTTGTGTCTTCTCCGACATCGAGGACGACGGAAATGTTCTGATCACTCAGATAAATTCATTTCTTCTATGTTTCAGCTTGTGTCGTTTAAAAAAAATCCTTACACATGGCACCCTAAGTCCAGAAGTATTAAATCATCCGTGCTTGATGTTACCTTAAAGAACGTCACATCTGGGAAAGCACTTCACGTAGAGGGTCTCAGCAAACCTGTAGAAATGTTTATCAAAAACTGGCACCGGGAAAGAGATGAAATCAAGCCGAAAGAGACGTTCTTTGTAAAACCAAGCCCTCCAAAATCGATAAAGAACATGCGATTTCACAAAATCGTTCTTCCATATGGCGATGCTGATGCAAATATTCGAATTGTGCCATCAAGAAACGAAAAACTCGAAATTTACATCAGGTACAAAGTGAGACCAACACCGGCAGAAAATAACTTTCAAACAGTTGTCCCAAATTTCTCCTCATGCTTAAGCTACTCGGAAGAGAATGGTTTCTCTGACTGTCTCTCTGATCCTTATTTGTTTACCATTTCACCCTCGATCACCGGACATATGGGTACTCACTTTATTGGTATACGGTACACCCCACATCTCCCTGAGATGAACAATACTCAAAGTAGAACACGCGTCAAGAGATCGTGCCGTGGGGCTAACGGTCGCCAGAAACGGTCATGTGTCGAAGTGAAGCCGCCTCCACTTCCCGAAAATATTCTAAAGCTACAATTTCAGAATAATTCCGACGTGCAGTATGATCTGTTCATCACCATGGGCCTGTGCATGTACTGGTCCCCTGAGGACGACGAGTGGACCAATAGAGGATGTAAGGTAGGAATACCGGCAATCTTTTGGCATAGATAAAATTTGGCCTGCTTGTAGTTAATCGAAAAAAAGAAGAACTTGATTAAAGGTAGGCCTCGTACATTAAATTCCTTTCCAGGCACAGATTTATCATTGACAGTATTAAATTATGCATTTGCCATCGCTCGGGAATATCCTTTGCACATGGCTTTGAAAACTTTTAAGTAAGACTGAGTACATCAGCAGTTTAAATCCTCCTGAAACAAAATCTTACTAAAAAAAAATTGTTTTGCTCATTGGTTTCGTTTTCCTTCGGAAAGGTCGGACCTAAGGCCACACCTGGAAAACTTCAATGTCTCTGCACACACCTGTCGGCTTTTGGAGGTGACCTGTTCGTGGCCCCAAACCCAATAGATTTTGATAAAGTTATGTCGGAGTTTGGAAACCTTGCAGCAAGCGGGAACTTCGTTGTTTTGGCATTTGTCTGCGTGATATTTGGATTGTACGCAACTGGTCTGATTATCGCCCGAAGAGCTGACAAGATAGACAAATTTGAGGTAGATGTATTTTCTATTGTAGTTTCCCTTAGTATGTCGTCTGAAAAAAGGGAAGCCGAGTATCACAAGCTGAGAGTAGAGAGTTGATTAGCTCTCTTTAAATGACAGAGACGAGTAAGTGTCAGCTGAAAAAACTCATAGATCTATGAAAGGAACAACTTATGTTTACTGAGTAGTAAATACGGTAAATATAAAATATAAAATATAAAAACACCTTGCTTAGAGTAGTTGATTTTTACCTCAGATTGTACCAAACATCCATGTGATAATAGGACAAGACTGCGCCTTCACATACGACATCTCGATTCAAACAGGGATTTGGAGGGACTGCGGAACTACAGCGAACGTGGCAATCATCCTATTTGGCGAGAATGGATGTACGCCTCCTATACTCTTAACACAGCGTCAGCTGGGAAAGAGATTTTTCGCTCGAGGTAGCGTCAATACATTCACAATTCATCTCCAAGAATCGCTTGGGTCTTTGTACAAAATCAAAATCTGGCATGACAATTCTGGAGAAAACCCGGCTTGGTTTTTTCACCAAGTCTTGGTTACTTGTAATTCCACAAACGAAAAGTGGTATTTTCTTGGAAACCAGTGGCTTGCTGTGGAAAAAGGAGATGGGAAAATCGAAGTCGACATCATTTCTGCAGGAGAAAGTGAATCTTTGTCCTTTAGTAACTTGTTCTATTTCAGAGGTGCGAAAACCCTAAGTGAGAAGCACCTCTGGTTATCATTGTTCACCAAAGCTCCGCACAGTACTTTCACCCGCTGTCAACGTCTTTCATGCTGCCTGTCAATCTTGTTTGCAACCATGGTCGCCAATGCGATGTTTTACCAGCAAAGCATAAGTAACGTCGATGCCTTTCGCGTCGGTCCTATTCATCTATCCTGGTCTCAAATTAAAATAGGCGTTCAAAGTGGGCTCGTCTCAATTCCTGTGAATGTCCTTGTCGTTGCTATTTTTAGGAATATCAGACCATCTGGCCTGATAGACAGCGGAAATAGTCAAGACGGAGAGGAAGAAGAGGAGCAAGCGAATGGTTGTTTCCCTCATTTTTGTGTTTACATTGGCTGGGCATTATGTCTGATGGCGTCATTGGTGTCAGCAGCTTTTGTTGTGTTCTACAGTCTCATGTGGGGTAAAACGGTAGCCAATCAGTGGCTCACCTCGGTAATGATTTCCTTTTTCCAGGACGTTATAGTGATTCAGCCAGTGAAGGTGGTTATAATTGTTTCACTCTTATCACTCATCGTTAAAAAACCAATCAAAAATGATGAAATACGTGGACAAGGTCACTCCGATCAAAGCATAGACAATAGTTTAACTTCTTCTCCACCAGGAAACGAGGAATTAAACAAAATGCGCTCAGTGAGAATTTTGAAAAGGAGACTTGCGAAGACACTGATAGAAATTGGTACCTGTGTTTCTTTCTTGCTTCTTCTTGTCATTGTTTGTTATGGAAACCGTGACAGTAACAGATTTCGATTCACCACGGCGGTGAAACATGTCTTCCCCAACTTCGAGAAGGTTTGTATGAAAGTGTCTTCTCAGTTATTTCCTCTTTCGTTTACGGAGTGTTTGGTCAATCCTAAATGATTTTTGTATCGCTATGATGACATCTGTTAGTTGTGCTCAACCTTCCAGCTTCATTTATGACATAATTAACATAAGTCGTTAACCTCCACCAGACAGCAAATTGCACTTAAAAATCGTGTTTTTTTTCAATTATTTACACATTCATTAATTGTAAAAAAATATTACACAAATACATCGATGATTGAGCTACGATTAACAACCCATGGCTACGGTATTTTCTGTGACTGACAGGTGCACAACATTACGTCATTCTGGACTTGGACGAGGAAAAACTTATTATCAGGCCTTTTTGACGTTAAATGGTACAACGGAATGGCGTTTTCGTACAAGGAAGGATTTATCAGAAACCGAGAAGCTTTTATGATAGGAATGCCAAGACTAAGACAAAAGAGAATTAAAGAAGGTGAGAGAATAGAGGAAAAAAAGCATGAAAGGTTCTATACTAATGTCAGCAAGATTACGTTCTTTTAAAAAAAATTTCCGTGTTACCGATAATTTTTACTTATTACTTGTAATTTTTCATCGATGTACTTATGGAAAAAGGAGAGTTGACAACTGTGTTTAGCCTTTCCTTAAGCCTTGTCAATAAGCATGATGTCTAGTAAAATCAATTTTCGACAAAAAGACATAAATTTGAAACGTTTTTTTTTTATTGATTCATCAATATTTATCATTTTTTAATTTATTATGTCGTTCAGATCCGACTTGTAAAGCTTTTCACAATGAAGCAGAACTTGTCCGGCGTTTTTCAAGATGTATTCCACATTACAGCACAGAAACCGAAGACAAAACCAAATATCACCTGCGAGGATGGATTCCAGTCGACGATTTTGAAGTATTCCAACATCAGTTTGAAAAGTTCTATCTTTGTCCTAGACCCTGGCGTTATGAAACAGCCGAGCAGCTGGGAACATTATCATTTCAGGGACTGAGGTCAACATATTCGGGGAGCGGTTACATTGCCGACCTTGGCTACAATACCGATGACGCACTGCAGGTGATTGACAACTTGGAGATGAATGACTGGATTGATGACATGACGGCCGCTGTTTTCGTAGAATTTAACATTTACCAGCCCACCACTTCACTGTTCAGTGCTGTGAAGTTTCTGTTTGAGAGATTTCCTAACGGGGGAACGAACACCATTATCAGGGTCAAAACTTTGACGATTTATTCGCCAAAAGATCGGTTTTTTCGAGTTATTTACGAGACATCTCAGTTACTTTTTATGATCCTTCTTCTCTTCTGTGTGGGCGCCGAAATTGGCAAAGTATATCAGCAAGGTTTTAAATACTTCAAGAGCCCATGGAGTTGGTTGGAAATTATTCTTTTGTTGAGCTCAGTTGGGTCGCAAACCATGTTTTTCCTAAAAGAATCGTACACAAGCAAATTCGTAACAAAGGTACAGGAAAACCCATTTCAAAGCTGGAGCATGGACAACATTTCATTGTGGTCAGACCTAGAAGTGACACTGTTAGCATTTGTTGTATTTCTAATAACTATGAAACTTTTGAGAATAATTCGCTTCAATCCCCATATTATTCAAATGAGAATGACGCTCATCAGTGCCTCGAAACATTTTACATCCTTCACCTTGGTTTTTTTAACGATGATAATCTCTTACGTTGCGCTCACGACATTAACCTTTGGTAGTAACGTATATGAATACCGTTCGTTCACGAAATCATTTAGCACCATACTGCTGATGCTTATAGGTGCCAAGGCTCCCTTCCACGAACTTCGAAGAATCAACTTCGTTATTGGACCATTTTTCGTATTTGCTTACATGGTAACCATTGTCATGATCTTCTTGAATATGTTTTTGGCTATACTTAATGATGCATACACGGAATCTCGTAAACTTGGACATGAAAGCAGCGGAGACCTAGAGCTATTTAAACTAATGAAACTGAAAGCTAAGAAATTTTCTAAGAAGACAAGAGTGGCAGTGATCAAAGTTCTTGAAGCGATACCGCAGTTACTGTGGCAGAGGCGCTCAGAAACTGCCGTTGCGCTTGAAAAAGAGGCTTTTGTGTCCAGCTCATGGGAAGAAAGGAATGAGATCTTTGGATTTCATGAAGACAATAATCCCTCTCTCACTGATATAATAGCTTTATTAAGTGAAATAAAGCATGACATCAGCGATTCTATTCTCTCCATCGATGACATCGTTCCTAGGGTGACGATTGATCGCGACAGCGAAAGTACAAGGTCTTGTCGACCCGACAGCTCGTCGGATTCATTTGACTTTCATTCGTGTTCCTCCAACTCGTTATTTACCTCTGAATCAGAAAGCGAAATTGCAAAGCTAGAAAATCTTATCGACTTAGGAGACGAAGACGACTTTTTTCATAGTGACTCTTTCATCATGGACAAATGGTATCACAGGAATGCTGAAGTAGGGGAAACATTCGTGTAGAAAATATAGATGTGAACCCAAACTAGCCTGAAATAATTATTGATTACCTCGGATGTATAGATTTCGTTTCTCCCCACCTCATGGACTGTGGTCACGCTCCAGTTGAAGAGCGTGCGTGAAGTAGTTTTGAATTTGCAATACAATGTACAAAAACCTTCGAGCTAACTAGATATAGAATTGAAACCAAAGTAGGAAACTAAAGGCAAAATATATTTTCATAAAGAAAAAGAAACTCCTTATTTTAAAATCTAGGCGTCTTCAGTTCCCCTTGTTGCGACCGGCTGCAGAAATCAAGTCCCCTCAAACATTTTGTCGTCGTCAATATCATTATCTCCCTCCTCATCGGCATCCTCATCTTCGTCGCTCACCGTCAATATCATTTCTATACTTCCAGCCAATCTCTGCAAACGATTGTTCAATTATTAAATAAGATATAAACAACAACCTCAGTTGCAGCGATTTTAGTTAATTTAGGATGTGGAATCAAAAAAGGGTGCAATAAAGATAACAACCGAGAATCAATGCTCCATTTTCATTGTCCTTTGATCAGTTGTTAGTTCTCGAAAGTAGTTGGTTAGTCATCTTTTACTGGTTTTGAGCACTTTACAAACTAAGGTCATTTACCATTATTTTCTTCAATGAGTGTTTAAAGTCTTGGTACACTCTACTACTTGTTGACTTTTTCTTTTTCTATAACTTTCATTTATCTCTCCTTTCGTCCATTTCAATGTTGGCTTGATCACCAACATTCTTGTGCTAACAAAATCAATAATCACAAACATTCTTGCAACGTTGTTTGGGGGGAAAAGGGGGACTCTAAATAGCTTATTAGAGATGAATTAAAAGATTTAAGTTTATTACTTTTGGAATGGAATGTTATCGACCTCCTCCTAAAGAGGGAGGTATGGTAACTACTCTCGCCACTCATTGGCGGACTGATCAGGGACTGATCATTGTTTATGGCCTGGACGACTTATCCCGCCTTGATCCTCCAACCGTCCTCCTCACCCCCCCCTCCCTTCACTCCTTTGAGGAGGTATATAATATGTAATATGTTTATTCAAGATGTTAACAGGTATAAAAGCAGGCCTTGTGTCAACATTATCTTCATTCATTTATGATAAAGTTGCGGCGAAAAAGCGCTGATCTCGCTCCAAAATCGTTTTTTTGGACGTCGAAACAACCTTTCGCCATCTATTTCCTGCGAACAACTTGCAATGTTTACCCCGCGGCGATCCCAGAAATCTTTGCGCAAACACAAGGGTCGGATTACAGACAACTCATTCATTCTATAATGGTTTAAGGGCGGCCTCGAGCTATTCCGTGAAAATCAAGATTCTTTGCTCTCCTTGTTCCTCGGTATGAAAACGTATCGTAAAACTTGCAAACAAATAATCAAAATAAGCCAGCCATAATTGCATTTTTATTTCTTCTTATCCTAAGTGTTTCCATATGTAAAATTGGTTCGAAGATTGTTAAAGTATTTTCTAATTTGATTATTGCACTACTTATAAAAAAATTAAAGATTAAGAATTTAGTCGTTATGCAATCGAAAAAAGCGAAGAGAAAACTAATAACCGCACACGTCTAAAATCACGATAATTTCTAACGTTTACGTGTTTGATAAAGCCAATGAGCTGGTGACACGTCACCCGCCTTTCAGCTTCAGCTGATGAATGAAGGTCAGTGCGCTTACCGTTCATTACCTTGGTAGGTCGAATTTAATTGTCGATATCTCACCCGCTTTCTGCCCACACTCCTGAAATATTGAGTTGTACACTCTAAGATAAATTTCATGATTGAAGATAGATTTCATGATAAATTTCATTTTATTTTCATAAATTTCATTTTGAGTTGTACACTCGAAGAAAGATTTAATGTCCAAATGCGGTCATGTGTTTTTCTTTATTTCCTTACGTAACCAATAAATAAAATGAGCCATTCATTCTTTTCTCATTATGCAGGAAGTGTTTAAAGTAAAAAATATAATCCAAACACATTAGGGCAGTTTAAAAAGATGCCATGACAACCGTGTTCTTTCAAATGGAATGTTATAGATAATTAAAATCTTTTCATGAAGGAGACAAACAATTCGCACTTATCGCAATAATAAGTAGTTTCCACTTCTCTCTACAGTTCAATTAGGGCCAGATAATCCACATACATTTTACGGGAACGTCCACTGTCAAACAGGCCAACAAAAATCAGTGTTCAGAAATTTTTGCACAGTGTGCATGCAAAGGTAAGGTTGAAACGTTTAATTGTTGAAAAGATAGGGTTGAACCACGTAATTGATACATCCAGCACACAATGCAATATCTTGAGGGTTGGCTAAAATGTTACTCACAACCTTCATTAACACTTATCGCTGTTATCGGGTTAGAACGCTCTTTAATCATATCACCTGAATATCATCTGCGAAAAAATAATGTTCCCCAGATGTTTCTTTAACTCACATTAATCAATTTTTGAAACGTCGGCAGCGTTGCCTCTTTCCAAAGTTATTTAACAGGAATAAATTTTTATGTTCTATTCATACACATTTGTTTCTCGGTTTTATCAACACTTTACTACGATTTTCTGAATAAAAAATGATACAGTGAAAAAAAGAGATGATTTTGATTATCACTTAAGACCGTTTTGACAAAGAAACAATATTGATTTCTTAGACGGACTCGAGGAAAATGGCTACCCTTTCTATTTTGGACACCTTCGATGAAATTCGATTGATGTCTTAGAAATATTATTCCACAGTGAGAAAATAAATTTTGAGTATTTTCTCTGCCTGGAAGTTAAAATCAAGACTAGGGAAAAACTCATGAAAAAGAGGCATTATAATCACCGATGATAGCAAATTTATGCCATAGAGAATCAAAATAACATGATTGTTGTTTTGTCTCCGAGTAAGTTCTTAGTACCGAAAGCTTATAGTGAGTGCAATTTAGAATCAAATGGTCCTGACCAGCTGTTGTTAACATTTCTTTCATTGACCTGTTAAATCGATGATTTTGACGGAGAGGAATCCTTAAAAACGGAAAGGAGACATGTTTTTTTCTTCTATCTTGTTGTGAGCTGAGATTGAGATTAACTTAAAACTTACCACAGTTTCTGAGGGTATAGTATCAGAATAAGTGGACGTAGACATTGTGACGAGTACAGACACGGAAAAGAGGCCATTTGTTCTCGTCATCTAAGACACGATCACTACGAAACGCCTTCCAGGCCAAATATTTATACTGATTGTACCTACCGGTAAAACTCAAAGCTATATTCTCACGTACTCTTTCAGATGCAGTTACGCCGTAACTGTATCTCTGAAAGTACGTGTGAATATGGCTTAACTACGGGATACCTATCGAGTGCCATTGATAGAGAACACTGATGGCGTCGTTGTTTTATTCTGTTTCTTTTTGTTTGATGTTTCCGCTTCATGTCCTTGTTTTGTTTGGTGGCTTGTTTCATTGTCAAAACAAATATGTTTGTTTGAGTTTAGCAACTTAATTAGAATTGAAGACAATGATACGTTACTTGTAATACCGGTGATAAGGGAGGAAATCTCAGTGAAACATGTTTGTTTTTGGACTGTTTAAAGTAGAAATATAGATCCCCAAGAAAGTTGAATGTCAATATGAGTTACTCGTACAATCATGCGAGAATTACCCATAACTAAACTCAGTGCATGGGAAATTGTTTCTTATTCTCGCTGTAGTGTTTTTAAACAAATTAGCCAATCTTTGGGTCACAGTTATTGCAATCATTAAACGTTACTTCTGTTTCCGTCATTTACGTAATTGGAAGTACTGTTTGCTTTCATACGGCGGGAAAAAAAACCCTAGACAAATGCTTTACACGAGGATTAAAATGGCTGACGGCCCCACTTAGGGTTTTCATTCATTCATTATTTATATTGTAATTATTTTTTCAAACAACACTTGGGTAAGACATTGTACTGGTACCAGTTATTTAGTTTATAACTGAAGCTTCAGGGATACAAGTAGTCAATTGGACTTTAAAAATCTCATTATTTTTTTCACAGAAAAAGCTAGAAAAAAAAGACACTTTAAAAGATTGAGAACTGAATAGAAGTCTCTAAAAAGGTAGATAGAGTTTCAGCTTTAAATTTGCAAACCATACCCTTTTGTTTTGCTAATTTCACTCGCCAATAAAAATTGATTAGAAAATTTTAATTCTTAGTATTATAAAACTACACGACCAGAATTATCGTCCCTTAAAAAGGAAACGAATTTACTTGTAGCCGAGTCAGTTCAAGGTGTATACCCGGCTCAAGTGACATCACTTTTTATAAAGAGCTTCAAAGGTAAATTACGTGTACTTGGCATTGACAGACTTCGAAAGATTACCATCAACAAAGGAAGAGAAAAGAAGGCAGCTGCCGATGTAAACGAGGTAGGTATTAAAAAAAATATTCTCAACCCTTTCTCAATGAACGACGTTGCTTAACCTGTAACTACGGTCTCCTCTATTCCAAGCCGCTCGAAAGACTAAATATCATTTGTACGTTCTTAATGTTACCTCCTAGTTCTGCGTCTTATCATTATCATATGTTACATTCATTATCACGTACGTTGGAAAAGCTTTATACCGATCTGTCCGTGGTGTTTTTTTCTCCTTATGAAAAAGGAAATTTCTCCCAGCTGTCAATGGATTTGCATGGAATCTTTGACATGAAGCCACATTAACATATCAAAATTCCAAAAACGGAAATTGATTTTCGTATTTTTTCGCACACAAAGAAATGACAAATAGTTTGAGAAGAACGAACTTTTTCAAGCTGTATGTTGAGAAAGTTTCAGCGTCGATGGTAAGGCGTTTGAGAAGTCGGGTCAACAGGGTATGTAAATAACCGAGTTCTTAAAAAACAGTCATCCATATCTGTTTCGAGATGTTAGTAGTCTCGGCACTATTTGAGTCTTTGTTCTCTTTATAGTTACAAAATTATTTCACCGTCATTATTTCATGATTCATTCACAGCCCATAAAATGTTTGTGCAGAAAAGCTTTAAAAGAAATATGATCATCGAGGTCTTTGCATAATCAGCTAGCAAGCAACCTTTGTTAAGCAAGACAGTTTACGTGGATTTAAATTTTTAATTCTCGTTGATGAGCGCCTTGTGTATGTAAAGTCACTCAAGCAATTGAGAACTACAAAAGGTCAAAATCCGTGGGAAGAAAGTGGCTTACCACAGACTTCGTGATATGTATTAAACTGCAAAGTCTCTTTATCCCTTGCTTTGAAAATGAAATTAAAGAAATTTCGTGGTAGATTTCTAGATAAGATAGCCAAAAATGTGTTCACAAAATGATTTCACATACATCTTGTACCTATGCGGTACTAGTCGAAGTAAAAAAAAAAAAATGAATGCTCTCGGGAAAGAATCGCAGTTCGATGGTTTAAATCATGATGTACACAAATTGAGAAAACGTTCTATCCTTCATTTTACTTTAAATGTTAAGATTTCCAAATATTTTGCAAATTGATGCAGATTCTAGAGTCG